CACCCTCTGCTGATTTTAAATACCACTCAAATGCTTTTTTCTCATCTTTTTGTGTTCCGATTCCATTTTGATAACACCAACCAAAATTAAATTGTCCATGAGTATCGCCACCTTCTACTAAAGCATGACCAACTTCTTTGAATTTCGTTGGTGCGACTAAAATCAAACACCAAGACAATGTCATTGCTTTTTCCTCATTATCAAATAAATTGCATTCACTTGGTGTTTGACGAGTTATTTCGAGAGTAATAATTCCTCGACTCGACCAGGATGAAATTTTAAAAACAAAGTTTGGTTCGACGTTTGAATAGGGATAAATAAATGACGCTGTGAGAATATAGCCTGGGCAAAGAATTTGATTAATGTTTAACTCTACTTCTCTTTCCTTGATTGGAGTCGAACCAATAACGATTTCTATGTTGCGAATGGATGGATCAGAATATTTAATTTCATAAGGGGTTCCAACCATTATCCAAACTACTGTATGCTCTCTATATTTACATGAAAGAAGTTTGTTATTCAATTGCTATAATTAGATTTTCAAGAAGATTCAAAGTAACTCACTGTGTTTCGTCCTTGTTTTCAGATGATTCGATTGAAATTCCGAAGCCTCCCACATCAAAATACTTAAATTTTGGAACAGCTTTTATGTGTTCATCTCCACTTTCACTAATTATACGACCAAAAATATGGTAGTTAGCTTTATGAAGTGGCTCCGTAAATTTTATCCATTTGTAATTGTTGACTTGATCTCGTCCAGACATCAAAATACGGCTTTCCGATCCAAGTAAATAATCAACTTGCTTGCGGATAGGTTCTCCCAGAATATGATATAAAGGCGTGACTTGTCGTTTAATTACTCTCCATTCGGTTATACGATCGGGAATTGAGGCAAGCCATTTTTCAATATTCCTAAATGAATCAAAATATATTTTAACCAATAAATTGTGCAAACGAAAAAACAACATTCGAAGAGTACCTACTTTGTTTTTATTGGATCTAAGTTATAATCGCATAAATATGAACTGTCAAATGGTTTTACGGATTTCTTGAATTCTTCCAGATATGATTGTAAGTCATCTTTATTCAAATGAAGAATGCATGTAATAAATATATAAGATAACAAGTGGTTCATATCATATTATATATTTAATTTACCTTTCTTTAAATTCGACTTATTGATTTTATCTCCAAAGTCTTTTGAATAGAATTCAAATATCCGATCAAGCTTTGCTCCGATTGTAACTTTGGATTGATAGAAATAACCATACTGTTTAAAGAGATATTCTAATTCTGGATACGGTTTATCTTCTTTCAATGCTTTTTTAATTTTTTCTGAATATAATTTTCTCGGCTTTATAGGTATATCCAGTATCAATTGTTCGCTATAGACTCCAAAATAAATGGCCAATTTGCTTTCTTCATCATCAAACCAATATTTTATTGGACTGTTACTCAGCCCCGATTTTAAAAACCTTTCGACGAAGTATATAAAGTTTGATTCGGTCGAAATACCATTGGATGCAATGAAAGCTTCCTTTTTCAAGTTATGCTGTGATAAGCTATATGTTTTTTGAGATTTTTTATCATTGAATTTCATATCGTGTAATTTGACAATGTCGAAGGCTTGTTTTGCTGCTTTTTCTAGGCCGTAATCTGAAAAAATAAGCCCGAACTCTAATTGACAAGATTTAATCCAATCGATTTCTCGCTCATTATAATCGTTTTCAGTATTTTCTTGGGTTATTTTTTTATCAAAGATAGTAGAATACATTTAAAAAATCCCTCTGGCGACAATAGGGTGAATATGATATAAAGGAATAAACTCCTATGAAAAAATAACGATAAGTAAATACCTGTACATGTACGTACATACACGTCACTTGCCGGTTGTACATGTACACGTAACGTAAAAGGTAATACATGTACATGTACCAAGAAAGAAAAATGTACGTAACGGTAAGTGTTACCGCTATATTTGCAAAACAAAATACATGTAATTGAATTTCGTTTGCAAGTTCTTTTATCCAAGTCCGATCTTCGTTTAACGTCTGATTTGATATAATCTAGAAGCGTCGTTTGCTTAAAATTAATCGGTCTTTATCGTTATCGTTATCCCTCATGGAATCTAGTAATTTTAAGGACATTTTAGTATTAATAGGTGAAGAAAACGGAGAAAAAGCGAAAAAAGAATGTCGTCTAGACTTATCAGCTAACCTCTACGTTATTCGTAAATATCTCAAAACTCATTACAATATTAAAATGGGAACAAACGCTTTTTTTATCAGTAAAAGAGGTGGAGAATTATCTCGGAAAGATGAAGAAAAGAAACTTGGAGAAATCATTATCATTGAAAATGAAAATCACATTGTTCTGAAAATTATTATAAAAACAAAACTGATTGACTGGGAACAAATTATTGAAAATTGTAAATTAGAATATGGATTTGAGCTTCATAATAAAAATGACGAACGTCCGACAAAGAAGAAACAAATATTTCAATTCAAAAAGTATCCGGAGGATAATGTACTTGAACAAAGTTGCAATCTAATCAGCAACTCGATAGAATGCCATGATGAAGCGGATATTTTACGAGTAAACAATAATATTGCGAAGTTAAATGTTGGTACTAATATTCCTTGGTATATATAATTATTTCTCGATTGATGTTTTTTATTTTAAAAGAAAGAAGTTAAAATAGATATTTCTTTAAAAAGGTTGTCTATATGCGCAAGTCTCGGTATCAGCATTGACTCTAAGAAAAAGTTGCACAAAAGTAATCAAACTTCCACTGTTTATTGGTATGTTCAAGCCGTACGTGCAACAATCGATATTCCAGAACTTGATGCTCAACCAACCGATGCTTTCAAGGAAGCAGTTCAAAATGCATTATCGAAAAATACGGATCAACTAAAACGTAAAGCACTAAAAGAAGTCGCAAACGAATTTGGCCCTTTTTGGAGTAAACGAGTTTTACTCGGTGGAAAAAAAGTTTTTAAAGAAAATGAGCAGCATTCCTTAAACGAATTACAAAATACAAAAGAAAATTCTGGCAGTTCAAGTATAAATGGAGTCAACTCAGAAGTCTTTCGAAATCGAACTCTAAACACAACTCAAAACACAGGTTCTAAATATTCATACTTAAAAGTATATGGAGGTGATTATAATGAAGATGAATCAGGTATATTTTTAAATTTTATCAGTTCGAACTCTTTTAATTGTAAATTTTGTAGTTAATCTTTGTACCTTTATACGTAGAATGGATAAAGTCTCTCAAAAATTATAAAAAATGGTGTGCTATCGAGTACAAAGATATCGCATTGATCTTCGAGATACTGAATGAAGATACACGTAACGAAATTTTTACCCTTTTTGGTCCAGCTATTGTTAAATCTGATGTGGAAAATATCGAATTTGATTTCCATAAACATCGTGAAGATCCGTGCGTGATTGATTTTCCACGCAAAGAATTTCTCCAAAAATCCCATCGAATCTTCGCAAACGTTATCAATAAAAGAAATCCGGAAGAAATTTTCGCATTGAGATTGCACTACAATTATGATAGCAATACACCACAAATTGTGCTGCATCGACTAGGAAAACGTTCAAAGGGAGACGAAACTATTAGATATTCTTTACAACTTGCATGGGTTGTAATTGGACACACTTATGACTTTCTTTTTAATAGCGGTTATCAGATTATCTGCGATGAAGTCATTAATGGAGAAACAAAAGAACTTGAAGAGGATCCCAAAAATGGTCTAATCATGACTTGTTTAACACAAGTAAAACCAAATTGCGACAACCATGATCCGACGAAATCGGACTTTTTTGTTGGATCGTATTTCTTTTCTTCGAATTCTAAAATTAAAAGTTGTGGCTTCGGTTATAAAGTTAACGATACTGATAGTAGGTTATTTTTATTATTTCTATTGCTCCTTGATCAATTTCACATGACTAATTTTTTTGTAAAAGAAAAATTAGATCTCAAACTCGTTGGCGTTGATTTTAAAATAAATTATTGGTAAATTGCTCTTATCTGAAAATTATAAAAAGATGACAATTAAAATTATTTTCGCTTCATAGTGTATTAGTCGGTAACAACAATTATCATGGTATGAGGACTCTGGAAAAAGTGAAAGCGACGGATGGAATTGTCAGATACAATCTTTCTGATGAAATCCAAAATTTGATCACCTGTGATAAATGTAATTGTAAATGTAAAGTTAACGATAAAGGTAAAGGTAAAGGTAAAGGTAAAGGTAAAGGTAAATGTAAATGCAAAACGAATTATGGATGCAATCATCCAATTTTTTTGAGCATTCTTCTGAAAGGTTGTCCTGAAAAATGTTCACCTGGATTTTTTAACATAACCCCGGAGCAAATTTTGTTTTACAGCTTTGAAAAAGATATTGCAAAAAAAGCACTAATTGCTTATTACTGTCCGTCATTATGCGAAGAAAGTCAAATTTGAATATATAGATATTGAAGCATTTATGTATTTTGTTGCTTTGAATAGTACTATGTACATGTATTTGGTTTTTAAATCAAAAACACGTGTTATAATCGTAATTTGATGATTTGTCTAACGCTAAGAAACCTCACCACCAGCAAATACGTACTTCCAATTACGGGGAACTGGCTATCACGTGATACATAACTATATAATTAAAGATTGATTTTAAGCTTAGGGTTAGGGTTAGAGTTGTGATCAAATTATACATAAAATTGTCTCCCCGACATTTTTTATTAGTATATCAAGATAGATTTAAGCATCTGTTTTTCAAAAATTTACGCATCTTTATTGGTTTGCATTTCGGACTGATTATCGGATGGACTAGACTAGGGATAGGACACAAACTATAAGATTTTGTCATTTGCCATTTCCAAAACTTGGCTAAATTAGTTTGGGAATTAAAGAATCAATTGCCATATATTTCAAATATTTGGAATATGACATAATCCCTAATTCCCAATCCCAAATTATTTCTAATTATTTCAAATTAAATTAGAAAATGTTAAAAAATATATTTATTAGTTAAATTATTTATAACTAAATATAATATTATCTATATTAAAATTCATATTTCCTTGTTCTTAAATCTAGATATATTATTATCAATATTATTTTCAGAAAAAATAGAATCAGTTAAATTAAGAAGAGTTTCAATAAATAAAATATTACTAGAATTATTTGTTACAAGTGAAAGATCATATAAAACAAAATTAATATTTTCTTTAGATAAATTTTGCGAATTTTCTAAAGTAAAAAATATAGTTTGTTCTAATGCATTTTGAAAAAGATCTTTTAATAATAATTTCTTATTATATTATTGTAATTCTTTAGTAATATTAGAAAAATATCAAAAATAAATTTTTGTCATTGCTTTTAAGATATTTAAATAAGTTCTATTATCTTTGCAAACCCATTTGAGAATGAAAAATTTCATTCACAAGAAGTTTGATATCTAAAAAATATTTTTAGTCTTATATTAACAAAGCTGGCTTATTAAATCTTTGTATTTGATTTATTATAAAATTATTGTGAGATAAAGTTTGCAAAATTTAATAAATTTTTCTATTTTCAAGTCATAATCATGATATTGAGAATGAAAATAATATAAAAAAGTATAAATATCTATATTAAATTCAATATATTAATTATTAAATATTTTAATAATTAATATTTTACAGAATTGCTAAAAGAAATTCTCTTAATTATTATAGCTAACTTGACTAATTCAATAAAATAATTAGCAAAATTAGCTATTTTTGCTTCTAAAAAATTAATTATCTTTTTAATTGAATGAAAAATAATGTTAATTCAATAACAAGTACTATTATTATTTCATCAAAAATTTTATAATTACTTAATTTTTGATTAACAAAAATTAAGATATATTACAAAATAAATTAATATTATTACAAGTTTGTTTACTAATTATTAAATTAACTTACAAACTTGAATCTAAATTGGAAAAGAATGATAAAATATTAAAAAAATAGATATTTAAGACCTATATTAATTTCTATAAAAATTATATTTACTAAAAGAATAATAATATAGAAGAATTATAGGAGAGTAATGATCAAAGAAAAAAAAGAGGATATAAAAAAATAATAAAGGAGATTTAAAAAGAGTAATTTTCTGTACTTGTATAAAGCTTTCCAGAGCTAAGATAATATAATTAGTAATAATAATAACAAAAACTCTTTCACTTTGTTCTTCTTATGAATAAGAAATATTTATTAACAATCAAAAATTCAAATAACAAAAAGTAAAAT